CCGTTTCGATTCAAAAACCATTTACCAGGCCATTAATCAAATTTTACATGAGAATGTGAATGAGCGGCGACGGAAAGAAACACGAAGAGAAACAAAAGAAACAAAAGCCAAAAACATCGATATTAGTTGGAATTAAAACAAATTTATTTATATCATATTAGAAATACATTTTTGTTATTTTACGAAAGCACCCAAATCTCACACTCGTTCGGCTTTCATTCATAGCGGCTCTCGTTGGGCGAGAGCGAAAAAAAACGCAAAACACAACATAGACAACCATTCAATCTTTCGACAATCTACATAGAAATTGATCGAAATAGAGGTAATTCGCATTTACATCGCGTCATTAATGGTGATCGTGTGAATTTTATTTTCAAAAATTAAAAAAAAAAAAAATACGGATGGAAAGAAACATCAACAGTCAGAAATTCATAATTTTTGTTTCGCTTTCCCAAGACCAAAATAGTTACGGATTCATAGCTGCTATGACCATTTCCATTCTCTCTTTTTCATTTTTTCTTCTTCTTCCTCTTCGATGCGGTGATCGAACTCAAAAGATTTTAAACGCTTTATAATCTACAATTCTACATCGTACACAAATGTTGTTATTTCTCTTGATTTGATTCTTTGTCCAAAGTGCGACAATAACCAAACACTCACACACTCACACGCACATCGTAGAAATGTAGAAAGCATAAAATAAACATATTGATGCGGTAATCTGCATTTTTTGAAAGCCCATCGAATTCAATTTGGCTACGCGATTAATTGTGAATTCAAATGATTGGTCTGCTTCTATTTCCCTTCTTTCTCTCTTTCTCCATCTCACTTATTTCAATACCGTTGTCTACTTCAAAAAGTAACAGGAAATTTAATCCTTGCTGCAAGTGAACGAGTTTTATTGGTTAAAATGTTACATTGACCAACAGTTGCATCATCATCAATAGCATAGTTTTAGTGTGAACAACAGGTGTTGCTGATGCGAACAATGCAACCAAAATTATCACTTTCAAAATGGAAAATTATGCGTTACATACTCATATTTATAATGAGATGTACGCCTGAATGTTACTACAATTGTGGTATATTATCCGACCAAATTACTGGCATCATTCAAAATTCAACATTAGCAATGTTCAATGATTCACATAATTTCATTTGTCTCCCAATCATTAAAATATTTCGATATATTTGTCACAAAACATGTATTAATTTATCAAATCGTTATCGTTGCCCAAAACCTCTGTTTATAATAATCAATAAAAACCATTTTTATAAAAAAAAAAAACGTGTAATCATTTGACGGTAACTCATTATTTATGTGTAACAAAATCGTACACGATTCATTATCACATTTTTTGAAAATGTTCCTGTATTAATTTCCGTGAATTTCAACCATTCACGAAGTGCAGCGAGGAAAAGACGAAAAACAGGAATGTAGCTTAAAAAAAGATGATTTTAATGCATAGCGATGCTCATTCCTTTTCCATTTATAATTCGTCGATATGATTTATGGATTATTGAGTCAAATTTCAGCATTTTTAGTCGAAGATAAACAGGTCAGATATTTTTAAACTAGTGTGGTCTGCTGTATCATTATTTATATATAAATTTATACCGGATTTTGTTGAGAAAAAAAAGAAGAACATTGCTCGATGCTTTGAATCCTTAAAGGTGACCAGTAGCCGAAAGGTTACACAAAGTTTCTTTCTTTATTTTTATTGACTGCTTCGAGAACAAGATATGAACTGGCTGAACATAAAAAAAAGTAAAAAGTTGAATGCGTTCAGCGGTCATGACAAGCGATGAAATATTTTGATGTGCATGGCAAAAACAATGCAGAAAACAACTGTCTTAAATCAAACTAAAATCGATGAAAAAAAAAACACACACCTGTCATAAAATTACCAAAATGTCATAAAATTCCCATAAAATTGGTCGAATGTAAACTAAGTTCGATTTGGTATGTTGCAATTATAAAAAAAAATATTGAAGATATTTTCACCAAAGCGAATTTACAATGTTCCAATCGCATCAACATTCAAATCATATTTTGTAATCATATTTGGTATGTGAAAAATGAAGGTAAATGAGAGCAACAATGTTACTATGCAACCGATTGTTTGATGAATTTGGAATAAATCGTTTTGAGTAGGTATGGCGTGCTGGATATTCGATGATTCAATAGTTCACCGCTTGAAAGAAATCACGGTTCAAAATAAAACGAAATAAGCTATACGGGTTCATTCGAATAGAGTTATGACTGTAGATCATCGAAAGATATCTGTTTAATATATCACTTAAAGGCATGTTGATCGCATTATTCGTATATCGAGATATCATTGAAATCGTGTGATTATCTTGTGATTTGTTTTGATGCGCATCGCTGGGTGTCAAGCCGCGATTTGATAAATTACTGTAACGTCACATTTGAACTCTTACCACTATTTAAATGGAGTCGTTTTGTTTTCTCTATCTCGCTCCCCCTGGTCGCTCTATTTTTTCTATGAAAATTAATTGAATCGAAACGAGTGCACGCGCAACAGTTTTTTTTTCATCGTCTCTTATTTAGATTCAACGAGAAATCACTCTCAATTAATTATTACGCGTACAGTGAGCGCATGTATGTGTGTTGGGTTGTATTTTTCTTTCTATCTCTTCGTTCGGCTACATGTCGTGTGATTTCAATTACGTAGTCATAATGGGCGCGAAGCTGGTCCGGTGCAAAGAGGTCTTAATTTAAACGCAGTGAAATCATTTTAAACGTTTCTAATGCTTTTATAATGATGATGGTGTGATGACGGAAAGTTTTCAATTATTTTCAAATCTCTTTCTCTTAGTATACTTTTTATAAGATTTCCACACAACATTTTCCATCAAATCGCATCAATTCAATAGCTCACAATGCTATGGCTTTTATTGTTTTAATATTTTACCATATTGAAAATGTACTAAGTAAATAAACAAAAAAGAATTTCTATGTAAATATCAAATTGTAGAATGGAAATTCAATTTATATTTGTACAATAAAAATGGCATAAAACGTTTTATTCGAATCAAAAAGTCAATAAACTTATGGAATAAAAGAACAAAACTCATGTGGATTGAGATTCACATAGTTAAAAAAGGAATCTTTTTTATTTTAAACAAATATATACAAGATAAGCGCATTATATTTGATGAATAAATGGCCAAAAGCATCAACTTAATATGGATGTCAAATCATAGATAGACGCAAAGATGATTCGTCATTATGGCCAATGCTTTATTATATGGAATAATATAATTTCAATTCGAACGATAGGAAATCAATAAAATCGTTAAGATATCTACTCAATTTAAAAGTTGATATAAAAAAATATACAAGTAATGAAAATACAAACGAAATCATTTTTATAGAAGTCTAAATATCAATAACATTCATGCACAAGTCAACAGACTATTCTTTCGGAAGGCAGTTCTCTCTCCTTTTTACTCTTTAAGTAAGAGAGAGTATTCTTTTGCTTATATTTTTCATGGAATAGAGTGAAAAAAGTGTGCAACCTCTTTTGAAAGGGTGAAGAACGATAGATGGAGTCCGTTATAAATTCAATAAAATTCATAACCGTTTCATGTGAATGCCGGAACATTTCTCGAAATCGATTTATTTCCTAACGAACGTTTTCCCGAAAATTCGTTGTACCGGCATTCTTTACATATTGAATGAGATTAGAAATGGTTAAAATTTGTGCAAAGTTCAAATGTGAATTATTTTCAGCAAACTGAAAGCTAGACTGATAATGCTGCCGATCGCAGCGACGAAATCAAGGGCTGTAAAAAACAATCGTTTCTTTGCAAGGCAACTTTGGCTTTGAAGCAGAAATATGGAAAATCCCCAAAACTTTTTCTCAAAGAGTGCGAATAGTACACAAGAGACAATATAAATGAAATTGGAACTGCACAAATAATAAGAACATGTACAAATAAAAATGGTTGAGAAATAAGATAACAGCGTGTTTATATGGAAAACCGCCTATTATGGCTAGATAGCAGCACATTTGCAGTTTGCAATGTATAACTTCTCTTTGGTTTTTCTCATTAAAAAAAACAGCAGTAGCAGATACATTCAAATCCAATTTACATGTAATTAAATAGGACAACATTATGTATATACAGAGATGGGCAAATTTATCTTGTGTTAGATAATATCACCGAATAAAATTGACTCATTGCACTGGGCTCTACCGAAGACCGGTTACTGTCTATAAAATTAATTTATAAGGAAAGTGGAATAAATAATATTGGAAATGAGCTTATCCAACAATCATTAAATTTCATTCTCATTTTATATCAAAAAATATACAGGGGGTTTAAATAAAATCCCTCGAGTAAATTCAATGAGAAAAAATAATTACATGTAGAACTTTGAAAAATCCGTATAGGATGCAAAGCTAATTTATAATTAAAACACTAGTTTATACCTTCTTCTATAGTAATGTTTAGTCTTAAGAAATTTACATATAAAAGTAAATTAAAAATTGAAATTAAATTTACATTGCTACAATCACTATAAAAATCATTTTTATTGTTTTCACTTCATTTCAGCGCCTGACGATATCTGCCATGGCTGAGCTGATTTGTCTGGCTGAAAATATCTCAATATAATGTCTGATCCAAAGACAATTTTTTAAGTTCATCGATTACTTCCAAGCACAAAGATTGCTCACTGTGCACAAGTGTAAACAGGTTTTGCATTAATATAATTAGTGTACTATCGCAATTAAGAGACTGCGTTCCGTCAATTGATGATATAGAAAAAAGTGTATGTAGGGCAGACTAGAGGGCAGATAATAAAACAATAAAAATTATTAATGATTAATGATGATAATTGCTTCATTTAATTCTAATGGGACTTTTGAAGGACATGTATTCTGATATGGTTTAAAAATGCATTCACGACGCTATTATAAATAGCCAGTGCTTAGCAGTGTATTTTATTTCTAGTTGCTTATTAAGAGTGAACGCATTTGAAATAGAAAATGATCGCCACTACTGACGAAGTGCATTCGAGAAAGGCGATTTGATTGGAAATAAAGCAAAATTTTGCCTGTATATATAACCAAAATTTTGGAGAAAATTGCGAAAAATGAAGGATTGTCCGATTATGCGATTGAATTGAATCCCGGTTCAAATCATGGTGATAATTTTTTGGGTGAATTGATTGCAATTTCACTTTCTGGAACTAAATTTGAAAATGGCTTGGCCCAGAAATGTGAAATGAAATTACTTTGCAAACGGCCACCAACGAATAAAACGCGCCTGGAACATTTTAAATCAAATATTGTGTTTGAACGTGAAATTTACATATATTCAAAATTGTTGCCGGCTTTCGTTCGATTTCAGCAAGAGAAGGGACTGTGTGATTTGCAATGAAGGATCAAAGACCAAACGAATTTAAAGAATTTGAACAGTTGAAGGTCACCTTCGGCGAATTTTTAATACACGGAAAAATTAAACTATTTTTGGATGAATCATGTTCGAGAGCTGCAGATGTACTAACGAATTCAGAGCACAAAAAACTCATGCAAAATTTCTGTAATACTTTTGTCGACGCGCATGATAATTGTGTATTTGACAAAGAATTTGCTGTAATAACACATGGAGATTTATGGTGTAAGTAATTCGTTTCAAAATCATAATAAAATTATAATTTTGCATACACTTTCAGGTAACAATCTTCTCTTCCGATACGATGATTTAAATGTAAGTGTGTTCTTATTATATTTTCTTTTTCTTTTTTATTGACTTCAATGTTAAGTATTCATATCATAGCTGGTTCCAAGGATATTAACAGTGTGGATGATTGGAGCTAAAAACTTGATAATGGTGACACTTTTAAATGCATTCGATGAGAAAACAAACAACATATACAGAGCGAGAATAAATGGCTTAGTCGAGGACTGCACCAAAGAATGAGAACATGCATGCAACGCCCTCATAAAATTTCATAATTCCTTTGTGATGTTTTGGTAGCATTGTTTATAATTTCAATGCAATCTTGGAATTTGAGATCAAATAATTGTCAATTTTGCAAATATACAATGATACTTTTTTCATTGAATAATAAAAATGATTCAGCAGTGATTAGACTGGTGCTAACGCAATTTTGTGTATATTTGCAAGGGTATCTCATATAAGTGAGCAACTATCAGAGAGTGCGAATTAAAAAAAAACTTTTGGGGGTTCTTGTAGGGGAAAAACCAAGAATTAAAACTTCTATCATGACCGCCGTCACAATATTTGTTAGAAAATAGTACTTACACTAGTGAACACAGCAATTCCATGAGAAAATGAACATATCTCTTACATCAACAAATTCAAAAACATTCAAATTAAATTTTCCTTTTTACCACTAAATGATAAGGAAATGCATTTCATATGATCGAGAAATATATTCATTGTAGCTTTCTCAAGAGAAACATATTGCCTAAAACTGTGGGTTTTAGTCGTATAGTAGCCGAATTCAGTTTCTTTTTACATTGAACCGTAACAAAAACAAACAACAGAAACATTCAAAACAACACAAGTTGTCAATATTATGTTGGATTTTTGTGTAGGTGTCACCATACATGCTTCGAGCATGTAACATTTGCAATGGCACTTGGCTTTCAGTGGATAAATATATAATATATTCCGTTTGTCACTATCTTTTTATTTCAGCTACCGAACTATGGACCTTTCTTTTAAATAAATTCGGTTATTAACGAACATCGATAACTTTATCAAAAATACACTGAAAGAGATTTTATTCTTCATAGCATTTCATCAACTTTTCTATTCTTTTGTGAGACTTTGTTTTAAACATTTTTCTCACATTAAAATAAAACAGGATTAACAGATAATTTGTCTCAAATCAACTTTCGAATCACATTTTAGAGGTTTTATCATTTGACTAAAGTGTGGCCCAACCTACGTTGACGGAATGCCATTTCAGTTTACTTTCAATCGGCTAACTTGTTTGCTTCATTTTGTCAAAATAAAACAATCGTAAAATTGTCAAATGGAAGTTTGTGTGGTATTGTTTCGTGGGTTGTTAGTACATGTTAGTACAATTTCGAACCGGGTGAAGCACACGCAAATATTGCATATTTCCAAATCTCTTACTTACCACAAACTAACCTCAGTTTCATTTCCTTCTCACTGTTGGGTGTGTACTTGGTAAATTGAAAAAAAAAGAATCACGGTGTTTTTTTCGATTGATTTATTTCCACATAATATTGTTGTTGTAGTTTTTATCACATCATTTTTATTTACTTGAAATACATATATATTTATTTAATTCTATAAATGCCAGTTTATGGAGATTGATGCCGTTGGGATGTATAGCGAAAGGTAAAAAGGTATTAATGTAATCATAATAATACATTGAAATCTAATTAAAGTTATGAAGATCCACAGTTTTCTTTTGTTCTACAATTTAATGCTCTCGCCAATGAGTCTGGGAAATTGATGGGATTTATTTTGAAAAGAAAAGAGAGTGAAATGATACTTATTTAGTGCGTGTGTGTAAGAGGAAAATATTTATTGTGAATTTCGTGCATTTCATTTTGCTAAACATATTTTCGTCTGACTGAGAAAAATTGGCCACAATGTGGAACAAAATTAATTAGTTGTATTTAAATTCAAATTAAATCCCATTTCAATTTATTACCTTAAAGTCAAATGTGAAATTGAATTTCTAATTTTATTAAATTCTTCGTCATGATTGTAATATGCACACAGTCAATGGTTTCATACTTCTGCTGGCATGCAGTGAATGCTTGAATCTTGTGATAAATCGTCTAATGATGATTCTGGAACGAGAAGAGAAGAAATGCGATTATTTGATCAACGCAATTTCATTTCATGATCCAAATGTGTTTTACCATGGGTTTTACTGTTATTATTATTATTGTTATTATTAGAAATGTGATTGTTGTTATTATTTATATGTAGCGAATTATGTGTTGTATTTTGAAATGAGTATGTCAATTGTAGATTGATATGACGGCTGTACGAGTTTCCATCGCTATCTCTCGGAACTGCACACGAAGTTCATCCGGACACATATCAAAAAAAAAAGTAAATCAAAAATTTATCGATTTATTAATTTAGTAAGATTTATATGTGTTTATAAAATTCGTTTATCGATTGTGTTGTTCACCTGAATGAATGTGTTTCTTTTGGCGTGCTCTTGAATTTTGAAACCAGACTTGTGTAACGCGTTTACTGAGCCCAGTCACTGATGCAATGCGTTCTAAATCCTGTCCATCTGGATTGCTATCAATTTGAAAATTGGCCTGTAATACTTGCAGTTGCTCTTCGGTGAAGGTGGTTCGAACGCGTTTTGCTTTACTTTTATGATAGCCATCTGCATCGCATCCATCTGTGTTATATGTGAGCGTGTGTGTTTTGGTAATCAAAACGATTTAAACAATTGGACACTAAATGAACACTGTGTATATTCAAAAAAAAAATAGCTCAAAAAAAGAGAATGCATCAGCATAAAAACTTACCGTCGCTGGATGTCGTGCCGCCATCAATCGTTTCAAGATAATGTGCTTTGCACAAAACTCGATCGTCTAATAATGCAAATTGTTCGCCGGTTGAAAGTTGACGACCGCATGAATCACACGCAAAACACGCCAAATGAAATACCAATTCTCTAGCTCGTCGAACCCAATCCGATGATGAAATACCGCGGCAGCATTTTGAGCACTTTGCACCAAAATTCCTATAGATTACAATGCCGAAGAATAAAGACGAAAAAATGAACAATTATTTTTTGTTTTCGTAATATTTATACATAAACAAATGACACAATGAAATCAAATGAAATTGATGTTGGTGAAAAAAAAAACCGAATCGATTGTGTGAATGCGTGCAATGGAATTCTGGAAGAGTTTGTTGCTGAAAGATTGTTGTGTTTTTTCATTTTTCCGCCTTGGAAAAAGTGACACACTCATCGTCTATTCAAAGAAAAAAGGAAGAGAGTGTGGGGCATCTGAAAGATATGCATTGATATGCTCGTTGTGTTTTATGCATGCTAATGATGCTTTGAACCGATGTGTAGCCATTTGATTTGATGAATTAGCATAAATTTTTTTTTTATTGTTATTGTTGTTTATCCATTGAAGATTATCTGGCAACGTTATGAATTATATTTTGATAAAATAGACAAACATCGACATTCTTTATATTCTTTTGTGAATTCACAAAGACTGACGTTTTTGTTTGAGTGTGGTGTGTACGCGCGCTTTTTGGAGTAAAGGCTATCTTTCGAGGTAATACATTCTTGGATAGTTAGTACACGATTGTGGTAGGTACTTGAATCTAGCTACAGATTCTCTTTATATTTAAATCTTATGAAAATAAATAATGAAAAAAATTCGACGAAAGAGCGCACATTTTACATTGATTGTCGTCAGCAATGAGAAAACGACAATATTTTTGTTTTCATTCTACTTCATCCATTCGTTAATTCGAAAGTTTTTTTCATCGAAGCGGCAGCTACGACCGCTGTCCAAATTGAATTTCATATTTTTATTCTATATAAGAAAAGCACCAACACACACACACTCACAACACTTCAATATCGCATGCGTGCGACTTCGAATAGTGAGTTACTTTATGTGTGTATTTTTATTTCGGCGAAATTGTCTTTCATTTTGTTTATTTAATTCAGAAGCATCGCTTAAGACCACAAAATCGTCTATAATCCTTCGGATAAGTGACTTTTGGAAATTGATTTTTCAAGATAAAATCAACAGAGACTAAGAAGATTTAATAGAATTAAAAAAAAGATCCACTAAATAGTCAAATGCATGGATATCACTTCAAATCCTTAATCTAGATTTCCATTGTGAATGTGATGATATAATATGGAATTGTTTGTGCCATGAGAGCGAACATTGTTCAATGAATTATTTGTTAGCGAAATCATATATTTATTTAAAGAAAAGCACTACTATGCTCAAGATACTCAAATCACGGCCACTAATGAAGATAAATGTTTTGGATGGCTTGTGCACCACTCGAGATATAATCATAACACGTGGTAATGTGTGCAATTGAATAAGATGAATTCAACTGAGAAATTGTTTTAATTGAAATCCATTTGAATATTCATATGAATGTCCGAGAATGAATGAGAGTCTTCTCGTGAGAGTTTATTGAAATGTAACACCGCCATACAAAAAATGCTGACTGTCAGCAATTTTTGTATGGCGGTGTTACATTTCATTAGACTCTCACGAGAAGACTCACATTCATTCTCGGACAATCATATGTATATCATTTCGATTGGTTGGTGATCTGTGGAAAAAATGTCCAATTGAAAAAAAATAATGGTAACGTTTATTTGTTGTTGTTCAACATTCATTCAAATGAAAAAAAAAAGATCTTTTTTCCTCATGGCATTTTCAAACATAAATCACTCGGCTCACTATCTAGCGCAACCTTTATGTACACAGTACACATTTGAAAACAACAAACGTTCAACAAACATGCACAAATGAACTAACGGAACTGAGAATTTAAAGAAAGGAAAATGTATTGTGGATACAGATAAATTCATAATTCAATTGCATGACGTGTAGTTTTGGCTGAATTGGCTCACATGGGCACTTCTTATTTGAGAGAGGTGTTCACATACCGCACACACATTCGTATGATTTTATTTTTTATTTTGTAAACTCTGCACGCGGAAAATAAATACATTAATAAAGATTTCAATTGTTTTGCTCAAACGATGAAAAATAAACGAAAACACGAATATAACAGTTCAATAGAGTTTTTTTTTAATGCAAACGCAAATGAGTTTGAAAGAAATGATGGTTTTGTGTAAGTAAAACCTCCAAATTTAAAAAAAAGTAATTTCAGTTTTTAACTGTGGTTTCTTAATTTCCGTAATTTCAAATTTAAAGTACATATTTTTTTGTAATTTCTCTGTCACAATTTGAAGTATCATTCTTCAAAACTGCAATATAAGCTATCAATTGGGAATTATTTCAGTCGAATTCAAACCTAGGGGCTCGGAACTTAAAAAAAAATTCAAATATACTCAGTTTGGTATGAATTAGGTACATAATGGCAAATATTTCAGCGATGTGAAACACACACAATACAAAATAAAATTAATAATCGTTGTTATTAATGTAAAAAAAAAATCAGGCTAAAAAGTTATATTTCTTTAGCAAAAAATTAATTTGGGTGAAAAACTTCAAAAGTGTGTAGTTGATATTCTTATTTTACAAATGACATGCACAATTCACCGTCATTTTGCGCATTTACGATAATCACAAATGTTTACAGCAAGTCAAGTTATTGTGCACCAGTCAAAATGTGCCAATATTCGTGAATATTCGTGGTTATACACCAATAAAAAAAATACTTCCGAGCCCCTAGATTAAAACTAAATCAAATCGTCTTGAGTGCAATAAATAATTCAAAAACCATGGTCTTTGTTAATTCGTATTGCAACGAATACGAAGAAAGAAAAAAAATATAATTTTGCATAATTTATTTTTAGTCTCGTTGAAAAATTAATGACGGCGCGCAAAATATGATCAGCAAAAAAATGAGTGTACGATATTGTATGCAATTGCAGTAGAATAATGGCATCATCTCTAATAACAAAATGCATACGTGCTTACTTACTAAGTGAATGTTATTTTTCATTTAAATGAACTGTCATTAAGTTTAATTTGGTATATTATTCGCATTTTGGATCAGGATATTGTACCTATCGATAATACACGTGTATGTTCATTGCCGTCTTTTCTACATTTTTCTCTCTCTCTCTTCTTTCGAAAAAAAAAGAACAGAGAAGTAGAATGGATAAAAGATAAAGTGGAAATTGAAACTTACTTGGCATAATCTGTTTTACAGTAGACTTGACGTTCGCGTAAAAAGCAAGACGGTTGACGATCCAATGGCGATAGGCAAATGCAGCATCGCAAACATGATCCATGCCATGTACAACCACCGACTTCAAGAAGGTATCTATCCGATATTGGTTCACCGCATGCAGCACAACAGCAAAGTTCTGTCTGTAAATATATAAAATATGCACAAATTAATTATATGCAAGCATAAAGTGTTGAGACTGAGAAAAAATAAAGAGATATACATACAGAAAGTCAATAGAGTCGACATCAAAAAGATACAAAGCATATGGATCATATCGTAAAATTGGCATTTTGCATGTTTACATTGTGTATCTCGAGTGTATTTTAAACGGTATATCGGCAACAATGTTGTGAATTTCTCACGCTTGTCACCAGATTAGACGTGTTTGGTGTGTTACACCATTTTGAATAGTAAATATGTAAAAATCAAATGCGTAGACATCTTCGTTGGCATACACATACAATGACCAAATGTGCAACCAACCCGAATATATATTTCGAGGAGAAACAAAAATACGCAACGCCATTTTATACCCGAATGCAAACACACAATTGTCTGAGAGGTGCAAATAAAATCCGCAGAACCAGTAGGAAACTAAAAAACAGTAGTTCAACATGGTTCCGGTGATATGAAAATATATTTAATAACATATTTGTTCCGTGTGTCTCTCTTTTTGTTGTTCTTTTTCGTTACGCTTGCCTGAGTTGTGTGCCTGTGTGCGTGTTATTGTGCGAAACAGACAACCACAAAACAAAAATGACAGCGAAACGAAAATTCCTGCATCAATTTGCTGGTGTGTCGAGTATATTGGTTTAGTTGTATTATTCAATATATATAGAGAGCGAGAGACACAGCGTATTGATATAGCAATGGGTGAATCGAACATTCATATTTCTTGTTTGCTCTTTTATATGGATTCTTCAGTGCAAAAGTTAACATGTTCAAAAACATAAAACATATGTTTGCACGTTTCTGTACAACATCTTTGTAATAAAATGTTCAGTTTGGGTCGTTGCATTTCAAAAAGTAGCAACCGAGAGTGGAAGAAAGGGAGAAAAAAAATCAAAACTCATGTTATATATCAAATGGCTACATGAAGTTGAGTGAACAAAATTATACGATCGACACAATCTATAGGCAATAGCAGTAAGTACTTGGGTGATTGCTTTGAGCAAAAAAAAAACAACAAACAAATATAAAACAAAACTAACCAAAGCACTGAGATGAAGGGAGCATAAAATAGGGGTTGAAAATATGTTCAAATCGAAAATTATAACTTTATGACTGACATCAACAATACGCCACATTTTATTCATGATCTACGATACAACAAAAAATAATGTTTTTTATATCATTTTGCACATAATGTATACTGTTCACATTCCTAATAAATGATCAGTTGAGAAGGGAGAGCAAGAGAGTAACTGACTTTCTTTGCCTTTTGTTTTGGAATATGTTTGTATTTAATGCAGTGCGACATTGTGGCCAACGTTCATTTCACAATATTGAACCACTAAACCCCGGTTTTATGGGCGCGATAATGGCGAAACGATTGAAAATAAAATACAAAATAGCACCAGTCCAATGGTTACACACACAGTGACACACTTATTGGAAATTACATTCGTCGTCGCCAATTGAACATGCTAATTACAATATTTTGGAATGGAGTCCTATTCTCAAAGCAAACATATATTTCCAGCAGAATTGTGCAAAGTATAATTTTTGACACAAACTATGTAGGTTTTTTTCGGTTGGCCGGAAACATTACCTATGAATGACATTAGTGTGTGATTTGTTTGATCAACGCTATTGCGTTTGCAACAAAAACAAAATTAGTTGTAAATTGTTTCATTGAGAAAATCACCGCTTACGTTTCGATATTCATTCACAAATTTCATGTTAAGTTATTGAAATTCTGGTGAGTTTTTGAGTTTTTTTTTATTTTCTCGGACAGACCGTGCCAGCCGTGTTTGAGTCTCACTTTGCATTCAATGTATCTTTTGTTTATTGGCTCGGAAAAGGCAAGTACCGAAAAATCTTTTCATCCATTTTCTGTATTATTCAAATAAAACGTGACAGATTTTGTAAATCGTATGATTTCTGTGCGAAGATTTGTGATGTGTGTGTGTTTTCTGTGTGAAAGAGTGTTGCTCTTCTTAACATTTTTGCTCGAGATTTTGAGTGAACTCCTTCAGCGAACGCTGATTGAATATGTAATTGCTTCAAGTTTCAATTGAATCTATGCAGTATAACGAGAATTATTGTTTATCGAACGTGACATGCTTCTTAGTAACCGGAACGCCTATGATGCAAACACACATAATATTATCAGTGGCAATCTTATGATACACATGTATATATCGTATCTAGCATAGCATCCGAAGATGTCTTTATGAATGCAAAAGACTATCGATCGACAAATATGTAGATATCGATGGAGATATTGATTGGAAATAAGGCTAAGTCGAGATTGGTGTACAATCGATATTGCTGTATGTAAGCCCTTTCAACAAAACTATTTAAAGAGAATGAGCGATCGCCATTTAAATATTTAAACAGTTGACCCTTCCTCTATCTTTTTAAATGTTTAGTCCAGCCACGGAAAATACCAATTTTTGTATCTCTATTTACGAACATATGCGCCCAAAATCACCGATAAATTCGAGTAAGAGCAACAAGAGAGAGAAGAGCGATCATATGCAGCTGAAACGGACGAATGAAGACAAAGAAAAAAAAAAAAGAAAGAAAGAAACGTAACATGCATACTCGACCGTATTATATGGTGAGAAATTTGCCATAAATCGATGAAATCTCATATCAATTTTTCTTTCTTTAGGTGTCAGATTAGCTATTTTATTGGAAATCAAAGCACAAAAGCTAACATTTTTTTTAATAACCTTTTAATATTTTTTTTTTAATATTTTCAAATTTGGTATGATTTCATGATGCACACACATATCACCACCGTTCTATGAATGTTATCTTATAGGGCATTTTGGTGGATTTCTCTCTTTCTTTCTCTCTCTCTCTCTCTCTCTCTCTCTCTCTATCTATCTATCTCCATTCGTTCTAGTTCATTTTTCATCGTGAACATTTTTCTATCGTCGCGTTCATAACACTTTTTAATATTGCCGCTTTCAAAAGAATTATTCAAGAGCGGCGCGCAATATGATCTCTCACACATTGGTCAGCAGGTTGACGATATGGATGATATAGCCACAGAAACAACAACAATAATATTGTCGAATCCGATCGCATTGATGCGCATTACAAGTTTACAACCATTGAAATGTATTTAACCAAATCTTATGCTCACTTTTATTCACAAGTATTATTTCCATTAGTCCAGTCACATTATGAAACGTTTAGTGATAATAATGGTCGCAAGAGAAATAGTCGAATATCGAATTAAAATAACCACTCTCACACGCGCCAGTGGTAGCACCGAGGTGTACCCAGGAAGCAAATATGTTAACGGTTTTTATATTGATGACCATGAATCAAATATCATTCTAGTCGAAATTTTTTTTCTTCAATTGGTAACATTGAAAGTGACTGAAAGTACACACAAATCCCTTGATGAAATTTATGAATTCACGTTAAAAATTGTTGCTTGGGCGCTACCGCTGTAATAGAACAATATTCACATAGCGCAAGCAAGAGAAAAAAGACGGCGACGATGAAAAAAAATAACAACAACTCCGCAGCAGTCATAAATAAAACACATGTAAATTAGCTGAAACAACGAAACAACTGTTCGAAACTATTAATATTTAATATATATCATCCATTTTCAAAAGAATTTATCCAAAGAAAAAAGTTGTAGAAATATTAAAATTTACATAATTTTTTTTATATATACATCAATGTGTTCCGTATGGTTTTCATCTTTGTTAAAGCATATTTTTGGTTGTTGTTGTTTTCTTTCGCTCTCTTTTTATTCGCTTCGCCGAAAAAAGCAACAATATTGTCAATTGTTTTTGAATACTGTTCTTTATCTCTCAGTCTCTCTAACTTACTATTTCTCTTTTGTCTATCACTAACCACAAAATCAATCCTGGCTTCATCCCAATGTTGTCAAATCAATGTGTTCAGATTCAAATGAAAGTATGAGAAATCGGCGAAAAAACGTGCTTACTTTGTTGACAAAATTCAATTTCTAACCATTTTGCATTTAAATTTAATATTCGCCATAACTATTATAGATTCTTTATCATGCGCTCTTCAATCCAGCGTTTAAATATCTTTGACCATTTTAATAGTTCATCACATCGTCTGAACTATTAAAAAAAAATCATTTCTGTACTCAGTGGGATTTTAAATGAATTGATTCGATTTGTTTTTGTCTGTCTTCTTTTTATGGCAAATCAAAATATGCTAAATACAATATATTTATAAATTTTCCATCTTCAAAAACGTAGCCGTTTATTTTCAATCGATTTTTACTAAGTAGCGATTTGTAATTCCCACACATCATTCGTACGCTTCATTTCAGACTCAATCATGAAAATGTCAAATAGTGCCGTTACCTGAGAGCAAAAATGCCGCACATTTCATCAGAAATTCAAAAATTTATTTTCATTCTCTTCGGCATTACAATTTTTTCTATCTCCTTCTTCTTCGTTTTTATCGTTAAAATAATAATAAATTCGGCGCATACATTCTTTTGCCACCTTGTCTCAAGATATATTTTTCTTTTTTCTAATTTTTATGCAAATTTGGCGCTTCTTTTGTTGCACATTGTGTATAAATTGGTGAGAGAAATAGATGAAAAAATAGAATTGAATGTTGAATGTTGTCTCGATATATATTTATATTTAAATCATAATGCCGCTCGTATTTTTTGTTTCGACTTTTTATTCTCTGTTATTTGTCGATGCCCTGTATTACATTTATCGTGTGAGAAATGAACAAGTTCAAAGTTATGGAAAAAAGAAACAAGTATTCCTCGATTCTTTTTGAATGTCTGATGAATAATTTCGTTTTTGTCCTTATTCAATTATTTCAATTAGCATATTCATAATTATTGGTGCTTTTTGCCAATGCAAATTTCGATGTTATGGAAATGAACAACGAACCAAAGGCAAAGCGAATATCATCATTAGCAAAGACTCTCCGCGATAACAATTGATATTGTTTTTTATTTTTCGTTTCAATTATTCTTCTCTTTCATTATGCCAAAATGATGTTTTCTCTCTCGCTCTCTCAAGTACATGGAAAACGAATGGAAATGTTCAAAATTAAAATACACACACAAAATTCAACATTCAATTCTAAATCGTTGAAGAATATCAAAAATGAACGCTCATGTTAATTATTTTACATGTAAGTGAGAAAATAGAAAAAAGCGTGCAATTTATCGTATTTTGTATGGTATGACAAAAAGTCTTTGTGTCTCATAAATGAGATACGGCAATTTGTTCAAAAACATTTAATTAATAATTGAGCGTATAATTAATCATCAGAAAACAATTAGCAAGGGCCAGAGCACATAGCGTGATGGCCCACTGAGTGTTTATTTTCTTGGACAAAACCAACGAACCATTCGAAAAACAACATACCACGTAAGAAAAACTGAATAGAAAAAGTAACCCACGAGAAAAAAACACACCGAAAAATGGCCCCAAATTGTCTGTTAGTTGTTGTTAACCTTTGCCTGAACTACACACAAAAAAAGTTGGAAAAAAACAACAATTGTAATGATAAAAAAAACCGGCATTGAGAATGAGTTTAATATTTTTGGAAAATGTGTGCGTCGTCAAAAGCACCACCTAACTCGTAAACATTTTTAAAAACAGAAGCTAATCGAAACCTATAATTTCATGATCACAACCGCTGTTCAATCTAAAATGGATTTTTACGATTTTTTTTTCTCTGAAAATCAATTGATTTAATTTGATTAATGAATTTTGTTCGATCGAAGTGAGATGAGACGTTAAAAAAAATCTTAACGCTTATCTATAAAACGATTTGTTATTAAATTAGCTACCGAACCACTTAAATTGCATACATAATAATAATGATGCGAAGTGCCGGAAAAGTTTAAAATCATAAACATAATTGTCGGTTTCATTCAAAAAAAAGGAAGCCGTTCTTAATCTCATCAAATCGCAAATGACTTTTTAATTCAATGCGGCATTGTAGTGTATAACAACAAAATTAGTATTTTTTTTATTCTTGTTATATTCATTCGTTCACTTTTCTCTTCTATTTCCAACATTCAATCATTCAGTTTAAGGTGAGTGTATGTGTTTTCTATCTTTTGGCTTATTCTGAATGGAAATTATTGTTTTTTTATATTTTAATCTTGTTCCATTGTTTGCTCGAATCTTGATTGGCATATATCCTGTGTAAGTAATCAACTACTCAATAAAAACTGTATCACTTTCTAATGGACTAAGCCAATAATTTGTAGGAAATAAAATAGCTCTCGAAGGCGATGTGATGCGCATGTACTCTTTTCAATTCAAAATAGCGAAAAAAAGGAGAGACTTGATGATCAAAATCAATCTTGGATGTCGTTACACATTTATGTCAACTGTGTTTCTTTTTGTTATTCTCGGTCGGGTGACAATTATTGTTTGTGATTTTGAAGAGTGAGATCCTATGTGTTTTTTTCTTTCTTTTTTGACTTGTAATAAATATTTTTCGGTTTGCCGAATTAATACCGTAGACGATTAAAGTCTAGTTACACTTCATTTGATCGTCATCCGTTCTTCATGCACCGAAGTTTTTGTATATAAACAATAAAAAGTACTTTTCATTGCCGAGATTGCATTTAAATTCTATTCAAATGGCAATTTATCATGTGATCCTTTTCAAATAAAATAAAAGAGGAGAAAAAAGAAACATACAACCATGTATTGTACCGGGAACACTTCATAGGCGACAACAATCACGACAATAAACCCAAAAACAGAGGAAAAATGGGCCATCGAAAAATCATGTATCAGCCCTGAAATCACGATGATGATGAGTAAGCGAGTTTGTGTAACAAGGACAGCACATGATTTTAGTTTTTCTTTTCACCACTTCGCCAAAAGCAGATGCTCAATTTGTAATATATGAACTGATGGCCTTTAAAACTGAATTGTCGTTTGTATGCATGAATTCGGATATGGTTGCATTAAATGTATAATAAACACACACTCGACTCAATCAATACATTCTCACACCGGGGTGTGCAGAGAGTATTCACACTCATTTCCCCATTCACTCGCACCCATTCGATCACTCACTTGCCTCTTTTTCTTGCCCTCTCTTGCCGAACATCGATCTCTCTATGACCACAAAACATTGTGCACATTTAAAAAGTCAAGAGGCTTTTCATTGTTTCGCCTTTTATCTACTGCCGATTTATTTGTATGTTATCTACATGGATATTATATTGCATTGAAATGTTTCTGCATTGTTTGGTTATACGTACAGATTTTCTTCTCTATTATTCATTCTTTGAAAATATTACACCATCAAACCAAACAACACAACAAAATGTGTGACAGAAAGTCATCTCTCACTCTCTCTCTCTCACACTCACACACATCGAAATATAGAAAAGTGCCTATGTTACATCATATTGCACAAACAATTTTTGATGACGATCATGAAATGCCGAAACGTGTTGAAAAAGAGAAACACTTCCAACGTTGACGAACGAAGGAACGAGCGAGAGTGTTTGTGTTTCAATTCAATTGAATGATTGCGTTGTTTTTATTTCGAAGGGGCATTTTTGTGACGCCATCAACAATTGTCCGTTACCGGCATGCACGCAAACCAGGTAAAATACATTCTTTTATTGACTTTTGCCGTTTCGCATAAAAGAAGCCCATGTTTCTATTTAATGTTCATCAGCCGTTCGATTAGCTATTGACCAATACAAAAACCTAATAATCTGGTCGTGTCGTTTTTGTTAGCTGTCAAATTGTCTAGTTTTATGTGTTGTTGATTCGTAACAAAAAAATAAAGAAGATTCAATGGATTATTTGGAGGCTCGATCCGATAGAAAAACCTAATAATGATCGTTTGATATGTGTTGAATGACCGATAGATAGAGAGATGGTTCAATGTATATTTGAAAAACGTTACAGGCGAATGTCAGACAATATAAAAATAACAATGCAACCGGCTTCGGTAAACATATTATTTGTGTGCTTCTGCATTCTCAATGCACATGGACACATTGGTACAGATGATTCAATATATACAAATATATGATCGATACAGACACCGTTAGTCAAAGCTAAAGCATCAACTTCAAGCCAGTAGAATAATTGCACAAAAATAACCTTGGCCAGTTCGAATTAGCCGCTTCGATTTTTCATGTTTCGTTCAACGGCACAAAATTAACAATATCATCAAAAGCCCCCTGTGGTTGTTTTTTGCCCATTTTTCTATCGTTTTCTGTTTTCTCTGTTCCCTATTTAAGATCGATTTGTGTGCATCACAAATCGAGAGAAAGAGAAAAAAAATGTCATAAAGAATGACGTTGCATTGTTGTCTTTTGCACTAAATGAAAATAAATGCATGTGTATGCTGTGTGTTCCATCTCGGTCCGAGAGTCTTTAAACATACAAACACAAAGTTTATAAACAGTTTATAAAAATGTTTAATATTTTAACACGCCTTTAATGCGATAACAATAGATTTTGTCCCGTGCACACTCGAAAGCTGCTGCTTCTTTGCAGGCATGTGCATGCCAATATATATTTGAGTGAGCGCGCGCGCGCCTCTTCTCAAAACACCCAGAAACAGTTAGACGAGAGGTTTTTTTTTGCCGTGCAGAACATATTAACATTTTTCTCGTACACCTTTTTGTATTGAATTCCATCCACATCTTGGCTATTCTTTTTGATTTATTACTATTTATTGATGATATTTTTGTTTGTGTACTTCTTGAAGAAAAAAAAGCAGCAAATCCCGAAATTTACGATCAAACATGATTATGACGTTAGTTTTACGTTTATAGGAAATACCAAAAAATCACCTGGATTTTCAATGATATAAATCTATGTTTCGTTTAAAATTTATGGAATAAGTCATTTCCGAAATTTCGAATCGAAGCGATCCAGTCATGACCGAACGCAATTGAATTCGATTTTATGACGTGATTTTGGTTTGTTTATTTGTTTTTTTTTTTTTTTTAATTCTGGCCCTTTTGGGGCGTTCTTACCTTCATTCCTTCAATTGATGTGTCCGCTAATCAAGTAAGCGAGCTCAAAACCCCACATAAAGTCAAAGCAATTCGCCGAATTGATGCGCGTCGCACGTCCACTCATACAATTCAAAAATGCAAACAATGCCAACACAAAATACTGACGAACCGTTTATTGTTTTTGTGTTCGTTGTTTATCTTACATGTGCTAACAAGAACTTGCACGCGTCATCAATAAAATATTTATTAAGAAAATATATTTTGTGCACGCGATAGAGAAACACAGAGTAGTGAGAGAATGTTTTTTTTTCTCTACTTCTTCTTCTGTGAATGAACTGCACAGATAAGAACGAAAATTGTCAACGAAAGAAATAGAAACTGTTTTGTTTTTTGTTTGTCACTGTTTGAACTTCTTTTCACTTGCAAATGAAATCTCAAATGCACCGCAGATCATTTAGTTTGAACTGAAGAAATATATGGTAGTTGTCAATATGACACAGACGCCACCGAGAACGAGACAATATACACGTGCACAGTTTCAATTCTGCATTTTTACCGTCATTGGTTCAGTTTTGTGCTTCCCACTGTGTGTATGCCCATTCAATAAAACAAAAATCGTTCTTTTTTTTTTCTCATTCATTTACAAGACAATCGATTTGTTTTATTATTACTATTCTGTTTTTGTTGTCATCATCATCGTCGTCATCGTCGTCGTTGGTCGTAGTCGTCGTATTCTTTGTGATACAAAGTTCCGAAAATAAATTTATTTATCGCAATTTGATTTTATAAGTGCCAACTGCACTCTGTTTGATTTACGTCAGCAAAAAATGTGGATTGCAACACGATTTGGCGTTTTTAAAAAAATAATTATTACAGTCAATTTGTAGTAAAGAAAATCTATCGAATTCATGCAGCAAAGAGCACAGATTCTTTATACTAACAATAAAAAAAATTCACATGAACTTTCAATGGATCCACTTGTGGGGATCACACAATGGGCCACGCGCAACCACAGACAATATACATATATGCATATATATATGTGAATTTGCAAAAATGCAAAAACCGATTGAAATAAATAACACCGATTTGGCTGGACACCCGTAAACAACTAAAACAAAAATCTGTCAATGTTTTGTTCGCTGAACCAAATGGGCAAACAAGCGAATGGCCCGACGATGGAGATATGCTTTGCCTTTGTTGAATATATATATATTCGAAATATTCGCCGCTTCCACACACACACACACACACGAACACTCTCAAAGCGCACGCAAATTTGATTATAGCGTGTATCTGCTAGTATTGCTGTCTTTTATCGTATTGCAATGTGTATACATGTGTTCATGGTGCGCTCGCTCAACCAGCGATGTGTTGAAGCATCGTTCGCTCTATCTGTGTTCCTGCTTTGTTTTGATATATTCTTTTCAGCTCTCGATTATTATAGATTTTCATGTTGTTTTTTTATTGTTCGTTCTCTCTCTCTCTATCTTTAAGTTTCTATTTATGTTTTGCCAGAGATTTTGTTTCTATTTCGTTTCGGTTGTTTTTTTTTACAATTTATCAAATCGATTTTGAGCGCAACAACAATACACACGAAACGAAAGACTTATCAACGGCTATAGCACTCAAAGTAACACCAACCAACCACACTCCAAATCACAATACACACATATAACAGTTTGACAAAAAAAGCAAAAAATTTAAAACAAAACTGAAGTAACGACAAAAAAAAAAGAGCGAACCGTGCAAAAGAACTTTGAAACCGAAAGAATGACGAACAGTGTGTAATCCAAAAACGGATTTATGCGAAAGGAGACAATTAAAATGAAAGAGTACACATTGGATAATGACAACAGATCCATAAAGAAAAAACAGCGAACGAACGGGATGAAACACGGTTGAACGTTATGTGCCTTTGGTCTCTCTGTGTTGCATGCAATATTACTGGTGTGTGCGCGTGTAAGTGAATCTGGTTCATTGGTTGCTAGGCGGTAACGTAAAAGTCGATACCCGCCCGTTTCGTATCATTCGCATATATGATGGAGAAAAGTAACATCGCCGTACAGACAACGATGACAACCACAACGATACAAATTCAAACACACACTCTCTCTGTAGTCGGTACTATCTTTTTGGTCTCTCTTTTCGCTTGTACTGATTTATTTTTGATTTCTTTCAAGGGGAAGAGATACAAACATCTTTATTGAGAAGAAAATCGAATATTCATTATAGAACCTGCTCAAAGCGTAATAAAAATTGAATATATTATTTTTTAGTTTTTTTTTTTCGATTTCAATTCATATCAAATACTGAAAAGTTGAAGATGTGCCATATTTTTGAAAAAATAATTATCGATACACCCCTAGATGCTGTTTCAAACACATTTTTACGTCTGGTAATGGTGCAACAATTGACGTGAACTGCAAACTGACGATACCATTTGCAGCCCCATTTTATATCTACTCTTTGTAGTAAAATTCATAGAATTTAAGATGACTATTGCACAAATGGAAACTACATTTCATAGAATCACTTTATACGCTTTCATAAAAACTGGATTCATCTCTTTTCCCATATAAATTTTCACTTCGTTTGGTATCTTTTCTGTCACAACACAACGTATGAAAAAAAGAAGTCCGTTTTTGCAAGTTCAAATGTCCATGCTCTTTATGCGATGAAATGTCGAAAATTCAATAGGAGAAAAAAAAAACGATTGACGTGCACCACATCTTCCTCTTTTCGCTTCGCTGAAACCGAACAAAAATTATCATATTTTTTTCGATATAAACAAAATGATAAATTCATAGCTGTCACATCTTTTTGGCTATATTCGTTTGATGTGGTGATGTGTTTACCATTTTTTCTTGCATTGGCATGAGAAAATCTGAACAAGTCGTCCAATTTGAATGTAAATAAGCCATAAAATAGTAAAACATATTGCATGTTTGCCGACGGAGGATGATTTCATACAAAAGGAATTCAATGAATGTGGAATCTTTGTGCTTTGTTGTACACTGTTTCAAGTCTGTAATTTTTGATGAGATTGTGTGTCGTCGGGAGGCAGACAAATTAACCGAATAAAACGTTGTTCAATTGTTAAATTTGTTGAGGCGTTGGTGAAGGAGTTGCACATAATAATTCTATTTAAAGCTAATCAAATCAGTTTTTTGGTAAATATGCGCGTGTGTGTGTATGTGTGGTCACGTGCAATGCATACGTTCTCAATGCTCGATTATTGTATTATAATAGAATTATTGCATATCCGTATTGAAAATAGCAATTTTCAGCATTACTACTGTATTTTCGATTGCATTCGATTCGAATTTTTATTTTATTTTTTGTCATATTTCAAAGCGTCTTCGTTTTAAATACTCTTTGATTTCAAAATAGACTGTTTGTATCAAAAGCTGAAAACGGCCCTCCTAATTATTTTCTCATTTTTGATGCCAAAAAAAATGTGTGAATCCATACATAGAGGAACAATGGTCGATTCTATCACAACGGATAAGTCTATTACGTATTCATTGATGTCGTCATTTGAACCGTTGCATATGAGAATATTTGATTATTGCTGTAGCATTTTGTGTATACCTCCTGTGGTTCAAGTTCAGTCAACCCGCATTCGAGCTGATTACAAACCATCGTGGATTCACACTCGAAAACATTCGGTTATCTTCAATGATATTGTACACCATCACTTCTTATCCCAATGTGTTTGTGCATGTGCGTGTGTGTGTGTGCAAATTTCATCAATGAAATGCAGTGAACATTCGGTCAAAATGCAAACACCTCATAATCTCTGGGTGAAAATCAAATCAATTATATTTGCATGTTTTTCATGTGAATCAGTTTAAAAATATGCCGGCAACATGAGCTGTACTTTGTGTGCATAAAAATGTTCACGTAGAGTGAACGAGTAATAGAGAAAGAAAATATCGAAACAATTACAACCGAAAAAAAAGTCAAATCCAAGTGTTTATTTGTGTAAGATCGATTTAAGTTTAAACTTTGTTTTCCTTATGAATGGCATTTGAGGTAATCCATTGTGCACAAAATGCTTACTACAATGTGTAATGTGTAGCATCTTCAAATAAACAATGAACAAAGACGAAATAGATAGAGAACCGGCTGAAATTAAATGCAAGTTAGAACATACGATGGACGAGGAAGAGAGGAAAACTACGAAAATTCAATGAAAGATAAACAGACAGAGCCAAAGACGAGGATAGAGAGAGAGAGAGAGAGAGAGAGAAAAGATGAGAGCTAAGAATAACAAATGGATCTTGTGTGACCATTACAAAAAGCAACAAAAATATGAATAGAATTGAAGAGTTTGAAGAAGAACCGATCACAAAAGGTGTTGGAAGTTTATCATTATCACTTACCTGAAAACACCTATATATGACCATTGAGCCACTCCATTTGCTGTTTGACATTTTCATTGTTGAAAGCTGCAAAAATTGTTTGTTCCATAGCCGAACCATAATAATGTAAAATAGACAGTGCCAGCATATTGACAATGACAAAAAGAAACATATCATCTGGTTGATTCGACTTATTCTTTCGTTGGTTCTTTCAATTTTTTTTTGGTTTTCGTGCGTGTATGGCTTTCGTTTTAAACGGAATTCAATGTAATCAAAGAAAGAATAACATTGAACTCAAAAACTGATACTGGCACGAGGCGATTGTGCACCAAAACCAATTGAAATATATATGTGCAATACACCAAAACTATTAACTCATTTCAATTTAAATGCAATTGAAAAATTTACAAAGAAAAAAGTGTCTTAGACACTCTTCAACACTCACCAATCTGTTCAATTTTCGGTATTTCTTTCTCTTCTGTAAAATACATTTTAATTTTTAAATTGAAAAAAATCAGCCTTATCATTTTTCCACCAAAAATGTACGAAACAGAGTCGTATTCTTCTCTAAAATGCCACATTTCCATAGACTATTTAAAAAAAATCAGCGCCAAAAGTCAGTCAAAGATTAAGTTGCAGTCGAACTTGAGCTATTATAATTACGTCAATTGATCTAAAATCAAATAATCAACTGCAACTTAATCAGTAAGTCACTTTAACTGCCTAATACTAATTGTAGAACACATTTACAATCTGTCTCAAAATAGTCTATCAAATATTTTGCACAATTTCCCTACCTGGAAAAGAGGCTCCATAGAAATCTCCAAAACAAAAATAAATGTGTGAGTTCCATGCACTTCTTGGCAAAGTCCAAATATACTCTGATTTTAAATACATTAAACATATTCTAAAAAGGTAATTATTCATTTTTTCTGTGGAAAAGTACACATTTCTTTGCTACTGTAGAAAAATGAAGAAAAAAAAGAATGAAAAAACGCGAGAGTACATTGAACATCGATACAACAATGGACGAAGTTAAAAAAAAATAGAGAAAGAAAGAGAGTTTAAAAGAAGATATGTTTGTTCGGTCAGTAATCTGTTTTTCCGTGAAATGGCTTCTAGTTACACATACTCATAAAAATGACAATATTTCGGGTGTATTTAACAAAACGTTTTTTCCTTATTTCGGCTTATGATCCGAAAATGGTTTGTTATGCATAGCCCATAATCTGTGGCTTATTATAACCTTAACTGAAGCTATTAAACGATTACGAAGCTTTCTTATGATCTTATGAAATTTCATTAGGTAAAAACGATATTACAAATGTTATTCTTTTTTTTTCGGAAAACCGATAAAGCCAATCGTGCAATAGGGATGAATGTGGACCAACACAACAAAAATCAAAGGATCAAAGTAACAAATCACATATTGAGAAGCGCATGAAAGAATTAGACAATCGTCAGCTGGTTATATATCTCTCAATCGTCACTATGTCATGATTTTTTCTCTCTATGTTTCACCGGATCTATTTTTTTTTGTTTTTTTTTTTGTCTCTCTCATTTCGTATGCTTTTTTTCGAACTGAAAACTATTATTAAAATATAAATACTTTTATCTTTGACTCACCCGGAGGGTTATGGTGTTTTTTAGTGTTGTTGTTTCACTTTGGTTTCGGTGGTCAACTGCCGCATGTCATTTAACATTTATTTGAATGTTATTAGAACTTTTGGATAATCTCTCAGAAAACAGATGAGCACAGTTCACACACTCAAGTATTTGGATACTCTGTGTTTGTGTATCTGAACTTTGAATAAAGCCGACGACGAACGATGATGAGGACGAAAATTGATATTGGCAAAGAACAAAAAATAAAATGAAAATCGCATTGTTTGTGGTTGTGTGTTTTTTGTTTGCATTGCTTAATTAAATTGTTGCTTTTATTTAAGTCATCAATAGAGAGTTTAAAATTATGAGAATAAATATTCTTACATACATGTTTCATAAATTATAAATATATTACACAAAAATTCATTTAGATTGCTAGACGATGGCAAATATGCTAATTAACATGTGTTTTCATTTCTTTTATTTTGCGCACACATTATTTTAAAATATCGTCGTCTCTTTTTGTTTTGTTTTATTTTTTTTTTGCTGCGTGTGTGTGTGCATGTTGGACCAAAAACTTTTCAAGTATATAGTTTAAGCTAAGCGGAACTGTCGTTTTACACTTCATTAACATTATGGATGGAGGTTAAAACCAAAAGACAATGATAGAACAAATTAAAACAAAAATATATCACTTAGTTTTAATTGATGATGAAATTCATTCCTTAGACCAATAGATTTGTTTGCATATGTACATTCAGTTCATATGGAGCTGTAAAGAAAGGAAGGAATCATACAATTAATCGAGGACTATTCGGTTAAAAAAAATTTTATTGGTGACGAAAAAAAAACGGACAAAAAAATACATAAACACATGAAACTAGATTTAAGTTGAAAGTGTAAAAATGTACCTTTTCGTTTGCCCAAATGTGTGTGCTTCTTTTGTCGGGCACGGGCATTTTGGAACCAAACTTGTGTGACACGCTTGCTTAAGCCGGCATTTAATGCAATTCGTTCTAAATCTTGTCCATCTGGATTGCTGTCAATTTCAAAATTACGCTGCAAAACCTCCAATTGTTCTTCGGTGAATGCTGTTCGAACCCGTTTGATTTTCTTCTTCGATGAATCTTCTCCGCCAAAATAACTATCAGCTAATAACAAATAACATTTTTGTAGATTAGTACAATTTAATTCACATTTTTTGATTGCATTATTATTATTAAAAAAAAAAAAAAGAAAAAAAAAAACAAAATTGATTAACTTACCGTCACTTGATGTTGTTTCACCTTCGATTGTCTCGAGATAATGTTCACGGCAGAGGATTTGATCTTGGATTAAAGCAAACTCTTCGCCGGTTGAAAGTTGACGATCGCAGGAGTCACATGAAAAACACGCCAAATGGAAAACGTATTGCTTTGCACGACGAATCCAATCGGTCGATGTTATTTTTCGCTGGCACTTCGCACACTGTGTAAATCTAGATTAACGAGAGAGAGAGAGAGAGAGAAATAAAAACAACCATATACTAACTATACTTTGGATTCGCTTTAAATGTTGTTTTCATTTTGTGTCCTTGTTCGATTTGAATTGAATCTCTTATGGCTATTTGTTTATATGATCGAATGATTTAATTCGTTGAAACTCACTTCATGTAATCCTCTTTGCAATAGATTTGATCGTCGCGAATATAGCATGTTCGTTGTTCATCAAGCGTTGCTAAGCATACGCAACATCTGAGACATGAGCCATGCCATGCATGTCCAGATACTTCCAATAAATAACGATCAGATATGGGATCTTCACAAGCAGTACAACACTTATATTCCGACTATATAAAAAATTGTTGAGAATAAAAAATCACACAAAAAATTAATTAATTGAATATTCAAAATTTCACTAAATAAAAGCACCGTTATTTTTCTCGTTCACAAATGAATCAAACATGAAGAGAGATTCTACTAATCGAAGGTGAAATTTTGCGCTGTTGAATGCCAAGTTGAATAAAAAATTCAATTCACAATATTTGCATGCAATTTGTTTTCATTATTCAAATAGCGCAAAATCAAATTCACTTCGGAACAAAAGTAAAAACTTATTTTTTTACTTTAACAACATAAATTCAGTCAATTCGTATATACCTTCATTTTTATTTTTTAAATAAAAAGAACTTTTGTTAATTTTTTTTTCGTCTATTGAATAAATAAACAAAGACTAAAAATCCGTCTTTTTTTAAGTGTCGAAATAAATACGTGAAAACGTTCTTTGCTCTTTTCTCTTTGCGTTTCGAAAGTGGCTAAACGCACAACTTTACAAATCGATCCGAACAGGTCGATATATCTGATGATACTGAAGCATAAGTAGAAAAAGAGGCATCTATAAAACGTTCGCCCGATGCTGTGTTTGATGCCCGAAAAATCACAAAGTAACACATATACACGCACGCACGCTCGCACGCTCGCACACACTAATGATATACAATGTCAACTGCTGCTGCACGTGTATTGGTCGATTTTTAAGAATGCTGTGGAAGGTAACGCATCACTGAAGAAGCACAGCGAACAACAACACCAAAGAGTAAAAACACTAAACAGACAGACAGGCATACAACTGCAACAGTAACGTGGAATAACAAAAAAGTAAATCAAAATGTACAACAATGCAAGCACTTCCACAAACTGTCAGCGCTAATAATAATATTATGAGGTGGTAACTTACACAAGCTCCGCCCATCTCAGTGCCGAACACAGTTCGTTTATTTGTTTTCATGTTATATCTGTGCTCTTTTTTTGTTGGTTCTACACACATTGCTTTGGATAGCGATTTTGTTGTTCTTTTGCCTCTCACCACGGCGGTATTCGGTTGAAAATGACATAAATGTTTTACTGGAAACGACGAATAACTACAGTAGAATCAATAGCAAATGAATAAATACTTTACTTATTACTGGCTCGTGTTGCATCGACTCGGCACATCCTTGTTGGCACATCCAATTAAGATGATACTTTAGGCGATCTCATACTTCATGTCACTTTTTTTAAAGATCAATTTACCGTTTGATTTTAATAAAATAAAAGAAAAAAAAACTTCCATTCAGAAATTGCATTATTAATTATATATTTTTGTAAAAAAAAAATTAATTACATTTCTTTGAATGTTAATGGGAAACCTCATTTTCAACGTTTTTTTTGTGTGTAGTTCATTCGATGCATTAACGCGACATTTTTTCTCATCTCAAATCAGTAGTACATTTATCAAATGGCATTTATCTTTTTTTTCTCTTTTGATTTTCTCATTAACTTAGCAACTTTTTTGGGCTCCATTGTCATTTTATCTCCACAGTTTTTTTTTACTAATTCATTCGGATTTTTCCGTCTTGTCTGTTGATCGCCTTTTTTTCTGTTCCCTATTCAAATTCTCTATTTGGTGCTGTCATTGACAATCACCGCATGCATGCTGTGAACTGCGTTTTATTCGCCATTTTACACTTATTAAAGTAGTAATTTTTCAAATTTGTTGATCTCATATCAATTTATTATCGTATAAATCGAATTGATTTTGATCATTGAAATGTTATCGTTGCACTTTCATCTAGTTTGTTTCTTGAGATTTGTTTTGCATTTGTAGGAAATTGAATAAAACCTTCACTCAATAATGCAAGACAAACAACAGGATAACCGTATTTTTGAAAATAAATACAGAGAGGCAGAAAGAGAGACCGTTACTAATGATGTTCGACTAATGTGTTGTCATCAATACGATTGTCACTTAATTTCTAATTTGTTGTCTGATTTACCGGCGACCAAATAAATCAGTACAAAATTTCACAATAGCCACCACATTTTAAAGGCTTAGAATCATTTTACAATCACATCGAAACGAAAATGTTTGACATTTTTCTCATCAAATTTTAAGTCGACAATCTCGCAAAGTCCCCGGATCATGAATTTTATTGTTTAAAATTGGTGAGATTTCTCTGTGCAATTCGATGAAGATTGCATATTGTTCACATGGTATAGTTTCACAGCTTACAAAATTTATGGAATGTCAATAAGTTTAAAACTCAAACATTTCTTTCAATAAGCACATAAATTAGATTGGAATTTTCCAACAATTATTTTCCCCCGTAAAAATGTGCCCATTTAATTAGGAATTCCATTGTTCGTGTTAATTGTGTTACGTAGCATAAATTTTCTCTTCTTCTCTTGACACATCCAAATGAATTTATGTCGGAAAAATCGAGGCGTTATTCTCATGTGAATGCATTTAAAAAAAATTCTTCTTCTTTCAATTAAAGAATAACTACGCGCCCAATTTTCATTGCTTGTTAACCAGACACAAAGAAATTATGCGCTCTGGATATAGCCGACATTTTTGAAATTCTATTGTAAAACAACTCAATGAAAAATTGACGCATACATCATTGGGCTTGTTTGTTTTCATATTCGATGTATTGTGTGTGTGTGTGTGTGTTTTTTTAAGGAAGTGATAACATCACGGCCCATTTTTTTCAGAGGGTTACTAATTGGTATTTATGGCCTATATATTTTCATAAACGTGGTTTTAGTACGTAAAGCACCTGTTATTATTATTTAACCGAAATTGCTGCTTGAATTCCCCATGTCACTGTCGCATATGCAACTTTATGTCACTTTGTGTGTGTTTCGTCCAATTTTGTGATTACTTCGCTTGATTTCATTCGAATAAAAAAAAAGCAAATAATTTCAATAGATATTCATACAGTAACAAATGAAAATGGAACACATTCCCTCTACATCTCTTTCGATCTCTTTCTCTGACGTCGTTATTATTAATTGACGAAATATGGCTGTTTAAAAATCGAAACAAATAAATCAATATTATTAATAGTTAATAGTTAATTGTTCAAGTGGAAAGTTGATGAATGTTGATGGGCACACATACACACTTTTGTGGATGTTTTTCGATTTAAGTTTTAAGAATCGCACCGTAACATTTAGATTTGGTCAATTTGATTAGTTATTTTTCATTTGATTGCAAAATTAAAACGCTCAATCACATATGCAAGATCATATATCTCGAAAAGATTTATTGTTGTGATGATAAGTTCAATTTCTGTCAAACCGGAACAATGAAAAACTAGCTATCATCCATTTATCCAGTCATTCATTCATCTTTTGAATTATCGGGCACTTAGTCATGCATACACATACGGTACACACACAGAAATGCTGTCAATCGAGTGAATAAATTCACGCAAACAAAGTGACACAATATACCCGGTCGACACAGTCAAAATAATAATTGACTTGCAAAACGAAATGTTCACGAATTGAATTATTATACTGGACTGGAGTTTGGTTACGGTTCGATGAGTTTTCAATTTTATGCGATCGAAATGATCGAAAATTGCATTTCATTTATTTGCCTTTTTCGTTGTTGCTGTTGTTGATGTTTTCTTCTTCGTACGCTATTTAATAATCTTTCCTCTTTTCATCGCCGTGAAAATGATGCAACAGCAAAATATGTATGCACCGTCGTTGAAAGGTATTTTGCATTTTTGCCAAAGGATTTCGTGCAAAATGAATATTAGGAAACGCCATAATAAATTATGGGTATTTATTTTGAAAGATTGGAGGAAACATTTTATTAGCATTGTGCCATTCAAAGCAGCGGTTAGTTGTGAAAATATTTTCCACAAACTGAAAATGAATGGATTTTATTCACTTCAATTTTATTATATTGCATATGTGTGGTGTGTTGATACACACAGACACACACATATTTATCATTCGACATTGGCTTTAGCGAGCAATCATTTGAATTCTTATTAGCAATACTTATTCAGATTATTATAAATTACCAAGTTATTAAAACAAATATGCGCGCTGTTTTATCTATCCTTCCTCGTTCGATAGTGTCGTGTTGTTCAATTTTGTTGTTGTTGCTGTTTACATATGTTCCTTTTTTTGTTCGGGTAAACATTTGTTTTTTGAATTTTCTCATGTTGTTTTGGCACAATAAAACTGACCACAGCCAGTTTATGCAGTTTTTTGTTGTTGTTGTTTGTTTGCAGGCAGCTTGCGCGTGACCGCGTACACAAACACATATTTATGATTACCTCCAAAATGCTGGGCAAGCAAACCATGATTCTCTGAAGAATAAAATGAGTGCGCGCATTTTGGCGAGAGAAGTTAATTCAGGTAGTGCGGATATGGGCGTGCTGTACGGTGTAATAAATTTATGATATTTTATTGAGCTGTGTTTCAGCTTCGCTGCATTTAAATTGTAAAAACAAACATAATCGGATGCTCACTTCATTCTATTTGATTCTCATTCGTTCTATTGCTCACTCATTCACTCCATGCTCTCTCCATCACTCTCTACCTTTTGGTCACTATCTTTATTTCCATTTGTTTTTAACATTTATTGAGCATACCTACCTATACATGTGTGTGTGTGTGTTTGCTTCGTGTTAACTCTTCGCCATTCTATACTTTGTGTCGACATCTCACCATCCATTTCATTATATCATTTTAAATTGGATTTTGCTCAGTGACGGCAATATCACAACATACACACACCTAAACATAACGAGAGTGAAACGAAAGGAGGCAAACGAAAGACAAAAAAAAATCGCATTTAATTGAGATGTTATGGGCGAAATAAAACGAAATTGAAAGATTGTTGAGATAAAATGTATAAATTGCAAAATGGAAATGAAACCAACAGCAGAACAGCTTAAAAGTATATACGTAATAACTTTAAATAGGCATATAAATCTACTGGCGCTTTGAGCCGATGAAATTCCAACTCTCTTGTCGTTTCTGATCGATTGAATTGAAACCAGCGAGAGAGTGAGATAGAATGAAATATACATTTACATTTTATCATTTTAGCATGCCGTAAATGGAAACTGTTGAAAGATGCGAACCAATATAGCAAAAACAAAAGTGAATAGCAAAAAAAAGGAGCAACAAAAACGCGATATATTTGTTGCTTCATTTTTATTTTCTCTCGACTTGATCGCTTTTTTTTCTCTCTTCCATTTTCGAAGCAACATTTTTAATTTCAATTCCCAAAACTCGTAGTCATACTGAAAAACCAAAAAGGTAATCATTCTGAACCGAATGCTATATAACAAATATCGGGTCATCAATCATATCATCTTAAATAAATTTGTTTGTTTTAAGTGTGTTAATTTTGCAGACAAATTACCACGAAGATGAGCTAATCGAATGTGCACATAAAAGAGACTTACATTCACCTGAGCTTAACTTAATGGTTTTGCAATATTTCAAGTGCATAAATCATCATCATCAGAATTAAATGCTATCATAAAAACAACTTT